CCAGCTATGTCTGCAGTGGGAGAACTTCTGTGCTGGAGACACCCCTCTGGGGCAAGACTTGCTTCAGTGGGGCTTTGGCGCTTACTGAGTCTGCCCCCTGAGTGTGTCCCTTATGGATCTGAGGAGTTGTAATCTGGATGGTCCCACTCTGACCACTGGGTACACTGGCTCTTGGATCTAAGGAGGTGCTAATTTAGCCTCTCCCTGAGGCTACCCAGCAGGAGCTACTGAGAGATCTGCAGGTTCCTCTTCTTTGGTTGGGATTTGGTGGTGCCCAAATGAGGCCCAGCTGTGGAGCAGTGCAAGCTGCTGTGTGGCCTTGGCCCTTCTCTTGGAAGTTTTGGGTCTGTCTGGTCCAGCTGCAGTTTGTTAGGTAATTTTCAGATTGCAAAGGGCCAGGGCATTCATACGCAAAAGCCTCTGCACACAGCTTGGGTGGGGCGGGGTCTCGGAATCAATAGGGTGGAGCAAGCAGCTATGGCTGATCCTCAGCCCTGTCCTAAGGGGCCCCGTGTCTCAGTGTCCCAGTACTCGCTGCAAGCACTTCTGAGAGAAAGCCGCCCTCGAGTTTCGAGTTCTGCCCGCTGCCAGACCGTCCAGTCTCTCCCTGTATGAGCCTCTGCACTTTACTTCCACACCTCCTCTGAGTCTCAATGTGCTTTTCTCTTTCCTTCTAGTTGTAGAATCTTTTTTTTTTCTTTTAATTCCAACTTAAACCCCCCTATACCGTATGAGTGACTAAATTTTTTTAAATTTACCTTTACTGTTGAAAGTATTACAGATTTTCCCCTATTTATCCCCATTGATCCCTCCTAGCCTGCACCCACCCCCACCCCAGACCTAAATTTTAAAAGCTCTTAAAGCTTTTGAAAAACTTTAAGCCAGTGAATGAATTGAAACAGTCATTTTCAAATGACTTTCTGCATTATCAACATAAGTTATAGAGTACCCCGTTTCAGGGGATTTAGTTGGGTCCACAAAAAACTGCTATTTGTCATTTTTAGAGAGTCATAGCCTTATGGCACTGTTAAACAAAGAATCTTAACTTGTACTGCTGAAGAGTTTTTAAATAAAAGGGTATATCGGGTCATTGCGAGCCGAAAAAGTAAATAAAGAGAGAGAGGGCCGTCTTGGGGCATGGAGTGTAACCAGCCACAGCAGCATGGCCACGTGGGACAGCATGTCCATCCGTCATCCTGGAACTTTCCAGTGTTTTTATACATCACTGGGGGTGGGAGAGAAAGATCTAAGCCCTTCTGAAAGGATTTACATTTGCTCTAGACCAGGGGTGGGCAAACTTTTTGACTCGAGGGCCACAATGGGTTCTTAAACTGGACCGGAGGGCCGGAACAAAAGCATGGATGGAGTGTTTGTGTGAACTAATATAAATTCAAAGTAAACATCATTACATAAAAGGGTACGGGCTTTTTTTTTTTATTTTTAGTTTTATTCATTTCAAACGGGCCGGATCCGGCCCACCGGCCGTAGTTTGCCCACGGCTGCTCTAGACAAAGGGGATGGGAGAAGGTAAGAGGCTAGATCCGGGATAGGTGTAACAGAGTCTGTAAGGAAGAAGTGTCCGATCCTGTGGATTATAGCCACCTGGAAATTAATCCTAAATTCCAGCAAATATACCGGAATGTGAGCAGACGTTAGTTAATCAAAGCTGGTCCACAGTTATGAGCCGGCCACTGTTCTGTCCCTTTCTCTGTCCTCTACGATTTTAATTTAGGTCATCTCAGAATTTTTTTCTTGTTTGTAAGTTAGCTTTCTGCTTTATCAGTAAATTGGACCAACATAGAGTTGTTGCTGGACGAAAAACGGAAAAAGCACCAGGGCTTTGGTGGACTGTTCTTGTTTTGTGGAAGTTGGAAAGATTAGCAGCAGTCTCAGCATACATTAAGACCCTGTTGTCTATACTGGACTTCTGGAGTTGTTGCTATATATTTTCTTTAACTCCTAAAATTATTACTTTGCTTTTCTTGTGTACTTAAGTTTTATCTTATAATTAGAAAGCCAGATCTTTAATTTTGGAGGAAATTTTATTAGGCACACCTTAGAAGTTCTTTGGAGTAAAGGAACATTTATCAATATGTACTTAGGGTTTGTTTTTTTAAAATTGATTTTAGAGAGAGGAAAGGGGAGAGAGAGAGAAACATCAAAATGAGAAACATCCATCAGGTCCTTAATGGGGGATCGAATCCACCACCTTTTGGTGTACGTAAGGATGCTCCAACCAATAGAACCACTTGGTGTTATTTTTTAATTTATCTTTATAGAAATGTCTTTATAAGAATAGACAATTGAGTTCAGGAAATGCATGCATTAGAGTAATGAAATAGCATCCCTCGCTGCTCCTTGTCCCAATACTAAACTGGGCATTTTAAGATAAAATTCTTAATTAATGATCTCACCAATTTGCCTCATCTGAACAAAGAATTTTAATTAGTTGCTGTAGGATTAGGCCAGTTATTGTTTATTACAACAACTTGATGCTTAATGTTTTTATTGTCTGCTAATCCTGTTTACTGCCTGTTATGGGATGAGTTACTGTGTTGCTGTAAGCAGACCCCAGTCCTGAGGAGTGGACTGGGTTCCACAGAACCGCCAAGTAGCCCAGGTCCAGAGCGGGAGCTCCTTCTTTCTGGTGCCTCTTCACTGCCTCTGGGCGAGAGTACTTTTTTGTTTTTTTACATGTACCTTTATTGATTTCAGAGAGGAAGGGATAGGGAGAGAGAGAAACATCAATGATGAGAAAGAATCATTGATTGGCTGCCTCCTGCACGATCGGAGATTGAGCCCACAGCTTGGACATATCCCCCGACTAAGAATCTAACTGTAACCTCCTGGTTCATAGGTCGACGCTCAACCACTGAGCCACCTGGGCCGAGGCGAGAGTATTTCTTGTTTTACGAAAATAATGTGAATTCATCTAAGGAAATGCAGACCTGTTGACTCTTGCCAGTTATTTGACTTGATCACGACTGGAGCACAAGCTCTATCCTGTCTCCTTGGGTGTGTACTATATATAGCAGCATGGTGGTGGTGCAGTTAGTATTCAAATCAGCTTCCTGTGCAGTCCCAGGAGAAACCATTAGTTAGTAATACAGCAGGGTCCTAGTTCTCTTGGTTGGAATGTTACTATAAAGTCAACATTTAGTATATGTACTTATTAGGATTTTAGTTGTGTGTACTATTTAAGAAATTAGGTTTAGTTGAATATTGATTAAGATTGAGTCATGCACCCTGGCTGGTGTTTCACAGGGGTTAGAGCCTCGGCCCAGGCACCCAGGGTCCTGGGTTCGATTCCTAATCAAGGGCATGTAACTGGGTTGCAGGTTCTATCCCCAGTCCGTAGTCGGGGTGTGTGTGGGAGGCAACCCATCAGTGTTTCTCTTTCTCTCTCCCCCTTCCTCTTCCTGTAAAATCAATAAAAACACCTTTTAAAAAAAAGATGAATCTAACCATTGACAATAGGTTGACATTCCATGGTCAGTCAAATGTAGGAGGTATTACTAGAAATAATATAAACACTTCAGTTGAGTTTGTGAGGTAAGGGATGGTGTAGGAGAAAAGGTTGAGTAAGTAGGGCAGGGTAGAATCTTTGAAAACTAGCAAGATGAGGCATTTAGATTTGAATTTACATGTAGAACATCATTCTTAGAGCGGTACAAAATGATTTTACAAAGTTGTCATCTCTGCCCAATAACTTTAAAAAAAGGAAACTAAGTCCAGTTGGTATGGCTCAGCGGTCGAGTATTGATCCAGGAACCAAGAGGTCGCTAGTTTGATTCCCAGTCAGAGCACATGCCTGGGTTGCGGGCTTGATCCCCAGTGGGGGCTGTGCAGAAGGCAGCCAATTGATGACTTCCTCTCTCATTGATGTTTCTCTTTGTCCCTCTCCCTTCCTCTCTCTCTAAAAATCAATAAAAACATATTTTTAAAAAATAATAAAAGGGAAACTAAGTATTTTCCTTTCCTGGGTGTATTTTTCTAGATGTATTGCTGTCCACTGCTACCTGTTACAAAGTGGGAAAAGGGGAAAGGACTTTAATCCATGGACAGATATAATGATTAGTAAATTATTTAATATTTGTATACCATGTTTCACTGATTGACATTGGCACTCTGAGTTAAATTAATTAATACATGTGAAGTGTTTAGAAGAACACCTGGCTAAAAGTAAGCAGCCTCTGTTACTTATTACTTTTTGTTGGGATTATTTTCTGTGAATCCTAAGTGTCAGTTGATGTTCAGAGTAATTTAAGGTGAAGATGTGATGTAGGTTTAATGCTCTACTCATTTCCCTCCCAATTACCCCCCTCTTTTTGGGATATGTTGATTTTGATTCTTAGAAAACTGAGTATGATTAAGATGTATAGATTCACATACCTTTACCCAATAAAATAAAATGGAATTAGAGTTCGTTTGGAGAAAACTTAACATTTTATTTTTCTAAAAACCACATGCGTTGTGTTTTCGGCATTTGCCAAGGCTAAATCTGGACACCTGCTAGCCTGAGAGTCACTCTCCCAGGCCACAGGCAGTGACTTCCTTTGACAAGACTCACCGCCTCAGAGACTGCTGGTCTCAGCAGCGTCTGTTCCATTTCTGGCCTATGACTGCGACCTGGACTAGAACAGAAAGACTGCCTACAGGGGTGTTGCACTTGGTTATTTCTAGTCGCATGATACGTAAGTGTTGTCCTGGGCCCGCAGCTGTTGAGGAACATAAGATACTGTTCCTGTTACAGCGGCTGTGAATGGGCAGTGCCACTTGAGACGTATTACGAGCTGAAAGTCAGTCAGTGGTGAAGCAGTAAGTACTGAGGCCCAGCTTTGTTCTGGGATAACCTTAGTTCTGGGAATGGTATAAATTAGATGTCTTCTCAGTGAAGTAAATTTGAACTATTTTGTTTTCAATATTCGTCTAAATGATCATTGTCTTCAGTTAGACAGCGTATTGTTTAAATTGAGCTTACTTGTAGATAGTTGTTCTGTGTTAACTTTTGTCTGAGCAAAACAGGACAGAGTGTTCCACTGAAGATGTTAAGGCTGAAAAGGGGTTATAAACTGATCTGGAGGTAGCCAGAAGTTACCACCAGATAGGGTTTTCCATGATTCAGATCAGTGGAAACATTTCATAGTGTAGTCCCCCTGGAATTTTATTTGTAATTCAGAAAATGCTAGCTTTATACTTCATTTAAGCAATTAAACCTAAGTTTTAAACATGATGTTGGTGATATCATTTGTTAATCACATGATTAGAAACATTGTCAGTGAAAAAAAATGACACATACAAATGGTATGTGCAGTGAAGCTTAAAATAGCACATCTTCACATCCCTGCAGAATCCCTGCACTCTGTGTGTGACCTCCTTACTTTATGTACTGCTCACAGAGGCGCTTTAAGCATCCCTTAAGGCTAGAATATTACACTTAAATGTTTTCTATACTTCCAGTTTTACTATTTACTCATATTTCTTCTGTAGGTATTTTCCTCGAGTAAACTTTGAAGAGAGTAATAGATGTGGCATTTCAGAATGTGTCTTGACAGTGTTGGGGCTGGGGACACTTTTTCCTTACTCCTTTAGTTCTTCTGGCTGATTGAGTAATTCAGACAACGTATAGCAGATTAGTAGGAGAAGATCAAATTTTAATGACGTGCACACAGAATATTCACATGGGCACACACATTCCAAAGACTGCGGCAAAATGAGGCAGATATGCCAGTTTGGAGAAGAGTCTGGAATTCCTGGGGGGAAATTGGCCATTCACTGGTCGATGACCAAGTGGCAAGCAGATTCTTGCTAGGTGGACTCAGAAACAGTGGGTTGCACTTCATTCACATGTGCTGACGGGAGTGTGGTGATTATGCTCGGGTCCCTTCCTGAAGCAGGCTTTCGTCGGAATCTCTTTAGGTGGGAAAGGGGAAGGTGGCTTCCTATTTTGTTAGGCTGTAATGGTTTTCAGCTCAGAATAGACTGTGTGGCAGCCGGGCACATTCTGAGAGACTAGACCCCACAACACTCATACCGTGTTGCTGGGAGGCGAGTCTCCGGTCTGTTAAGATGCTTATACTCTTTAAATGTATCCAGGTTTACTTTCTGACTGACATTTGTCTGCGGTTTTGTTTGTTTCTCAAACATAGAGCTGCCAAATGCTGTTAAATCAGCTGAGAGAAATCACGGGCATTCAGGACCCTTCCTTCCTTCAAGAAGCTCTGAAGGTTAGTTTCAAGGTTTCTGTTAGTCAAGAGGCTTTAAAACAGTTGTCCATGTTGTGGTTATGTCAGTTCAAGCTATTTTAACGCCTAAATGAAAGTGTATGTAGGGACAGAGCTCTACAGGTCAAATAACCCAGTATCTTCAACATGTAAATGGATGGGGGAGACCTGCAGTGCAGGGAACCGACAGGGTAAAAGAGGTTTATGAACATATCAACCAATTGCACAGTATGGATCCTGACTTGGTATGGATCCTGACTCAAACAAACTAAAGGATATTTGAGTCAGGGAAATTTGAAGTAATTTACTTAAAAACTTGATACTTACTGTTAAGGGGTTCTAGTTTTAAAAAGATACATTCTGAAATGTTGACTGATAACTGATACGATGCTTAAGATTTGCTTCAAAGTATCCGGGAGAGACTGGCAGAATAGATAAAACAAGATCGACCACCTTGGTACATGGGTTCAATTATACATTCCCTCTACTATTGTAAATGTTAGACAGTTTTCCTAATAAAATATTAGAAACAATTACAAGTGTGGTCACCACTACAGAATGTTTTAAACACAGTGCCTTACTATCCTGCACCATATTCCCCCACCCCCAGACTTATGCCTAGACTTACTCCAGTTAGTAAAGAGTTATAACCAAGCAAGAAATTAACGCACTCATTTTAAATGCTGTGATGCTTTACTTGTGAAGTCTTTCCCCCCGCCCCTCCTTAGGCCAGTAACGGTGACATCACTCTGGCAGTCAGTCTTCTCACAGATGAAAGGGTGAAGGAGCCCAGTCAAGACCCTGTTGCTACAGAACCATCTGAAGCAGAGCGGAGTGCTGCCAACAAAGAAGTATTAGCAAGTAAGTACATCCTGTCTTAGTCCTGCTTGAACTCGCAAAACATAACAGATGAGTGTGTGTGAGTTTTCTGTCTGCCACATCAGCCCTTTGGAAAGAATGGTAATGATAGCTAATGATTAAACCGTTACCATGTGCCAGGCACAATTGTAAGCACTTTTGTGATTCATTCATTCACACTTATTTAATGAGCCCCTGCTATGTGCCAAGCACTCTTTCAGGCACTGATGAACAATATAAACAAGATGAACAAAATGAATAAGAATCCCTGCCTTCATGTTGCTTAGTTTTTCAAGGGGAGACGAACAAACAAATTATATAGCCTATCAGAACATGCTAAGTACCATAGAGAAAAAGTAAAGGATGGAATGAAAAAAGTTTTGAGGATTAGATTTGAAATAGGATGAGCCTTTTGAGAATGGGTGAGTAAGTCATGTGAGGCCTTAGGGGGGGACTATACATTGGTTTGCTTAAGGAGCAGCAAGGAGGCCAGAGCTGAGGCTTAGTGAGTGAGGAGGGCAATACGAGATGAGGCCGTAGAGAGAACAGGAGGCAGATCATGCATAGCCTGCGTAAGTGCTTGGCTTTCCTCTGAGTTAGATGGAAGCCACTGGAGAATCTGGATCCGAAGAGCGATGTAAACTGTTCCCATTTTCTAAGGTCACTCTGACTGCTCTGTTGGGTAGTGGGTAATGAGCATGGGTCGGAGCAGGGAGCCCAGGACCAGTGAGGAGGCTATAGCAGATGGTGTTGGGTGAACTGGGATGTGGTGGTTAAGGAGTGAGAAGTGCTGCTATGTGGGCTTTGCTTGCAGAGGAGACAAGGGGTGTGTGAGAGAGGAGTTAAAGGTGACTCAAGGGTTTTTTCCTAAGCAGCTGAAATGATGGAGTTGCACTTATCCAACATAGGAATAACTGTAGATGGGGCAAATTTGGGGTGGAAGATGAAGTGATCGGTTTGGGCAATATTAAGTTTGGGTGCCTGTTAGACATTCAGGTGGAGTGTCAAAATGCAGTGGAGCCCAGCCGATGTGGCTCAGTGGTTGAGTATTGACCTATGAACCAGGAGGTCACAGACTGATTCCTAGTCAGAGCACATGCCCGATTAGGGGGCATTCAAGAGGCAGCCAATTGATGATTCTCTCTCATTGTTGTTGTTTGTATCTATTTCTCTCTCTCTCTCTCTCTCTCTCTCTCTCTCTCTCTCTCTCTCTCTCATCAATAAAAATAGATATATAAAAAAAAGGCAGTGGAGATCCACATGTGTAGTTCAGGGGAGAGATCTGCTGGAGATAGATATACAACTTGGAATCATAAACCTGTAAATGGTATGTAAAGTTATGGGACTGAATGAACTCGTCAAGGGAGCCAGTATAGAAAAGAGAAAAGGTTCAGTGACTAAACAAGCCGGCACTCGCAGTGAAGGGAGGTCTGGGGAGATCAGGAGTGTCCAGGGAGATCAGGAAGACCAAGAGAACCAGGAGAGTGGTACCGTGGAAGCCAAGGAGGCTTCCAAGGGAAAGGAACCATCAGCTGGGTCAGATGGTGTTAATGGATATTTGGTCTATTTGTAATTTTGAACTATTCTGAATAATGCTGGTATGAGTATTCTTTGTGTGTGTATGTGTGTGTGTGTATGTATATATGTATACGTATACATTTATATGTATATATGTCTGGTGCACATAGTGATCTTTTTAAATCAATATTTTGGGAGACCCATCCATGTTGAACGTTATAACTGTAGTTCACGTATTTTCACTGGTGTGTAGTATTTCATGGTCTGAATATACTACAGTTTATGTATTTATTGACTCTGGGGTTGGTTCACATGTTTTGCTATTATAAGCCAGGCTGCTGTGAGCTATTTTGATTCATGTAACATGTGCATGGCTAATGATGTTGAACATCTTTTCATGTGCTATTGGCCATTTGTATGTCTTCTTCAAAAAAATGTCTATCCAAATTATTTGCCCATTTAAAAAACTGGGCATTTGTTTTTTTCATTATTTAGTTGCAGGAATAATTTAGGTAGTCTGTTTATAGGTACCTTATTGGATACCTGATTTGCAAGAATTTTCTTGCATTCTGTGGGTTTTCTTTTCACATTCTTGATGGTGTCCTCTGAAGCACAAGGTTTGTGGGTTTTTAAAAATTTTGAGCTGGAGAAACCAAGATGGCGGCATAGGTAAACACCTGAAATTGCTGCCTCGCACAACCACTTCAAAAATACAACTAAAAGACAAAACAGACATCATCCAGACACAGGAAGGGCATAGGTAAATACTGGGAAATTGCTGCCTCCCACAACAACTTCAAAAATACAATAAAAAGACAAAACAGACATCATCCAGAACTACAGGAAGGCTGGCTGAGTGGAAATTCTACAACTAGAAGGAAAGAAAAGCACACTGAGAGCCAGAGGAGGTGCGTAAGTGAAGTGCAGAGGTACGGAGGCTCGGGTGCGCAGAAAGGGGCTGGAAATGGAGGACATCAGTGTCTTTTGCAATCGGGAGGGAGGCACAAGCTCCCAACGGCCCTGACTCCAGTTCCGGGTGAGTCTCTTGGGACACA